CTTTTTTTTTTGGTGAAAATTTTTGTTGAAGGCAAACCACTCTGATGTTACATATGGTATACCATTTGCCAAATACGGGCGCCACAAAGTGTGTATATATGGATGTATATATATATATATATACACATTCATATACATATAGTACATATTTTCGCTTAATCAATGGAACGTGATGTCACTGATATTTTTTTTTTTTTCTTTTTTTACGTTTTTTTTTTGTTTGTGTACGCATATGTATGCCTGTTTTTGTGTACCTCAGCGCCAAAGAAAAATTCACCGGAGCCTTTTGAAACCATCATCGGTTGATTGGTTTTAGTTTCTTGCTGTTTTTGTTTTTTCGTTTCTCGCGTTTTCTGGTTTTATTGGCCGTTTGTGGCCAATTGTTGGGTTTTGCTGTTTGTTGTTGTTTCTTCTTTTAAATTTTCTAAAAAAAAAATGTTTTTCTTTTCGGTTTCCGAAAACTAAACTGTGGTTACACTGTAACTGTTAATATCCGCATGGTGTAACGTAATGGGCAGACTGATGATGAAGTGGCTTGCCAGTCATTGAAAAAAAACGACCAAAAACAATCGAAAATAACTACAAACTGACTAAAGTGAAGTTACACAATTCGTAGGGTGTGGAGCCGCAATTAAGAAAACTGAGAACAAGCAGTTTTGACCAGTATTTTATTTAATTTTATTTTATTTTATTTTATTTCACTTTATTTTATTTAATTTTATTTTATTTAATTTTATTTTATTTTATTTTATTTTATTTTATTTTATTTTATTTTATTTTATTTTATTTTGTTTTATTTTATTTTATTTACTTTATTTATTTTGTATTATATTATTTTATTCTACTCTATTCGAATTTATTTGTTTTTATTTTACTTCATTTATTTTATTTTAAGTTAATTTGTTCAATTTTCTTTTTCTCGTTTTTTTTGTTTTATATTTTTATTTTGGTGCTTTATTTTATATATTTAATTAAAATTTGTATTCTTTTTCATTTAATTTTTTTTAATTTTCTTTTCTTTTTCAATTTTATTTTATTTTTTTTTTAATTTTAGTTTCAAATATATTTAGTATTTTCATCCTTTTATTTGAATTTTTTACTAAATTTCTGAAGAAGTCGTTTTGCCAGTTATTGCGCTTTTATTGCTATTTCTTTCGCATTTTAAACAAGAACTGAAAACCAAGAGCAAACAAACCAGAAGATATATAACATTCTAACGAATGTGTTGTTTATAAAAATGTATGCATGAGCTTGTGCCTATAAATTAGCGCAAATATTGTCGCGTCAAGATACAAAAAGATATAATTTTTTCCAAACACTTTAGCCAATTGTTGTTGCTTTTTTTGACGTTTGATTCTGTTGTTGAATTTTTATTTATTTTTTGTTATACAAATAAGAGCTGAGAAATAAATACATGTATGCCTACATGCATATAAATACGTATTTACATATATAAATGTATTGCATTGCTTTTATATCAGTTCTTGTTGATTTTTTTTTGTTTTTTGTTGATTTACTTAGATTTTGTATATGTGTTTGTTTGTATGTGCGCCTGCAAAGTGTTTATTTGTCGTCACTTGATTTGTTTCAAATTGTCGTTTGAAATTTCCGTGCAGTGACCCCCTACAACTTGGCGTAGCTTTCTTTCAGCTGGCTTCGATGGTGCTTTTGCGGGGCTACCCTGCACTGCTACATGCACATACATATACACACACAAATACACATAGAAACTCTTACTCTTTGATTGCACTGAGGGTCATTGCCATGATTGGGAGGGAATATATGTTTATTCATATGCGTGTATGTGTGTAGATGTATGTATGTATGTATGAGGAGTATAAATTTCATACTCAATATGAGTCGACAAAGTAAGTGTGTAAGTCTCGAAATTTTATACAAAAATATTTGCTTTATTTTCAGAGTCGGGTAATTTTAGTGCGCTCTCGTTCACTGTCGACGGCTGCTTAGCGCAGGGGTAAGCCGTAGCTATGCCTTGCCTTTGCTGCCGTTCTAATTCTTCTTATCAGTTCTGTTATGACATTTTTTCTTTTTTTCTTTTGCTTAATCAGATACAATTGCTTTTGTGTATAATATATGCTTATAAATATATACCAACTTATATATATACATATATACATATCTACGTAAGTAATATATCTGTATATATGGGTGTGAGTATGTGTTGCTGGTGAACTTTGATAGTTTTCAGAAGATCCTCTGATAAAGTAGAAATATTTTGATGAGTTTAAACATACCATAATCCATTGGGAATTATATTTCTTTACGTACGTATGTATGTGCATATTTAGATCTACATACATATGTGCAAAATCAGAACATAATACAGAAGAGTGGTAATGATTTTTTCGTCTTTTTTAGTTGCCGCATCATCCATTGGTGAAGTAGTCGCAGCGCGAAAAGTATTTATCCCTTACAGTACCTTACTTAGGGCATCTCAGCTGCCGTAAATGAGATGAATTTAATCCAACCAGAACTTTTTGATCGAGGTGGAAACAATCTAGCAGTCGCATACAAGAGCCTCGATACATCAACCGTACGTTTGGCTTGAAAAGGCCCAAGTACCATTCATTGAGAGTAGTAATATATTCTCCCAGAGAGCATATCCCTAATCCTCCCATCGCAAGGTATAATCAAGTAATAGGTGCACTTATAACCCACTGAAAACGGTAGGTGAACCTTTGGAAGCACGAGATATCTCCCCGAGGTATTTTACTATTCTCCTGAAACTTGAGAACCCGCCAATCACAAACGTAGAGAAATATTTTTTCTTAGAAAAGTACTCTTATACTCGTATTGTAAGCAATAGTTGGAAGATTGAAGGCACAAGAGGTCTTCCCAAGTTAGATTGCTGTTCTGCTTGGACTTAAGAACCTGCCAACAAGGCATGTGGAAGCGCTCCTATAATGTTATATAACTTTCGGAAGGATCATGTGTTTTTGTAGCAGATATCGGATACACTTGCATAACAAAGAAGATACTGGCATCTCGTAAGAAGGTTGTGCTCCTGGTGAGCACGTTTTTTTTTCCTAATATCAGCAACTTTCGTTTGGAAAACTGAGATTTAACCAGTTTTTCCATAAAATTTTCAGTCCCTGTGAGGAAATTTGACTGCATACATCATGCTAAAATAGAAAGAAGCATCTTTTTTTGACCTACCCGATATAGATGAGGCCGGAAGGTGATGTATTTTACTCACCTCAAAGCAGAGTCAAAGCCATTCTTCGTGGGCTTGTCAGACTGGCAATGGTTAATGAAACGGAGTTAAACTATATTGTGTGAGCCTCATTATTGGCATTCTGTAAAATAAGTGATACTTTCAGTTGAAAGATGGATTTCAAAGTCTCCCAAGGATAACATATAAATGGCGCTTTTTAACCGCTGAATCGATTTTCGGTCGAACTCCCCCTCCAATTTTGTTATTTTGCGGCTTGATGTTTTCCCAACAAATGGAGGCACCTACAATTGAGACAAAGCCGCATCCAAACGGCTGGGGGTATTTTATGGGGAGCTTTTGATTTTATGTCAGAAATACACTCGGAGGGTTAGACATTCCCTGCTGAGGAGCGACCGCAATTGGAAAATTTAGCGTCCATGCATCAGGAGGTACTAAATTTCACTCGCCTCAGCTTTCGGGGCTTTTGGGACTTTGTATCGCAACGGCTTGGATTTTTACCGGGGCAAAGACGATCACCTAGCCCACTAAGTATTCTTCACAATGGGAGCCCTACCTCAGAGGGAATGCTACCTCAGAGATCGGCTATCAGAATATTTATTTAAGTCGACTCACCTCCTATGCACCTCACCGGCGCTTTGTATACTACAACGACTTCTTTCAGCTCATTATTGGACAACCGCAAGACTTAGAGATACGCATTTTAACAGCATTAGAGATGAGTAAAAAACCACCTACGACTCAATGCAGAGCTCGGCATTTCGCTGAATTCTACCACAATGAAGGTATGAACTCAACTTACTAGCAAAATTAATCTTTTTATCTCTAACCAAGCCTCTTAAAAATAACCTAACTTTTGGAAGGGGTCTTACCAGGTAGCTACAGGTCTAATCAATTTTCCGGTTTACTCCCGACATTAATTCGTGCACAGGCACTTTAAATTAGCGATAAGAAAAGTTTGGTATAAAATTTCGGAATTTTCATCCAAATTCCTTACATACATATGTACACATGTATTGTCCACATTGATTTCATAATTTATAAATATTATTTCATGAATTTTTTTTATACATTTTTTCCTTGCTGAAACTTTATTGCGCTATCGCAAAGTGCCTTCCAATGCGAATAAAAAATATAAAAATAAATTTTTCAATTGTCTGCCTCTGCCTATACCGTATAATATGTGTTTGTATATATATGTATGTATGTAAATACACATATAGGCGCACCATGTGTGCTATGCGTATCAAATAAAAACGAAACAATCTTCAATTCTGCTCGTCTAAAAATATCACACACCAAATAAAAATTTTTCTTATCTCCTCAGCAACTTTGGTATATTCCGCATGGTCAGGCAACCAACTAAACAAAACCCGACCAACGAAATGCTGCTCAACACAACAACAGCAAAACCAACGCAGGGCGCAGCACAGCACAGCATCATTATTTTACCACCGCCGACGCTGCTGTTAAAAAATACGCGGCAACGCGAATGGCATGATAACAGCAGCAAACTGCAAAGCAAGTAATGAAATTCAAAGCAGCACTGCTGATATCCGAGGCGAAGACTTTTCAAGAGAGTAGACAGAAAGAGTATGAGTGCAAATGAAGAGCGCAAGAGAGTATTGTTAGAAAGAGTTGAGCAGACATAAAGTAACAGAGATAAAGAGAATGTAAAAAATAAATGTTAAATTGCCAATGTTAGTACCAGAATGTTAACAATTTACATTTACGTGTTATATAGCATAGGTATGTTATTTAACATTAGCAATGTTAATTAGCAGTATTTTCAGATTTTTTAACATACGCAATGTTAATTAAAAGTTCTTTCGTCTTCCGCAGAGAAATTAATGTAAAAAATGCATTCAGCGGGCGGCTGAAAAAAAAGAAAAAATAAAATTTCTTTGTAAAAAAAAGTATTTATATGATTAACTGGAATATTCAAAAAATTAATACGGCACTGAAAATGAAGGAAGACCACAATGAGGAGCTGCTAGTTTTCAAACCAAAGAGATTCTCGGTATCAATAAAAATTCAAACTTGTCATGAGTTGCTAAAAAGTAATCGAATGATCTCTTCTTCTCTACTCATAGGGAACAAAAAATTGTAGTAATAAAAGAAATCTTAATTATTAGTGTCGCTATAAAGGCAGCAGCAATAACCGAGTGTGTTCTAACTGCCGAGAACTATGGGCTTGAACTCTGTCTAACCCAAAATCTAAAATTATAAAGAAAAATATTTCAGAAAAATCCTTACTTATACATTCACTTTGCTGAGTTCTGCAAACGGCGAAGGAGAAGAAACAAATCTCAACGTATTGAAGTGTTAAAGGAGTAATTCCCGCTAGAGTTGAGTTCTATTTTCAAAGGTAATACACAACCTTAAATAAAACGGGCACGGGAAAGAGTTACATTAGCCAATCGGCTGGAACTTACTTAATGCGTCTGATTAGAAAGCACTCTATCTTTGGTACCTGAGGTAATTTCATTCAGGTTTATCGCTGTCAGAGTAGCGGCCTCAGACGGTCGGTACTCTGGTGCAATCGAGAATGGGACAACCCACATTTCTTGGCTGGACTCAACTTTATATCAATTTCCCACTTATTTTTTTCATCACAAGAAGACTGGAATTAGCGGAGCCTCCAAAGACCATTCAACTTCTTGGCGAAGAGAATGGTCGGTGTAGAAATCTTCCTTCGAGAAATATTCATCGTAAATCCGACGCGAGGAAATCGTGGTCTCACTGCTTCAAAAGGTAGTGTCTAAAAGACCAGCTGCTTTTTACTTAGAAATTAAAACGATGAGCTCGCTTATTGTAAAGTGAGTCATTATCAACACAGTCAATGTCATCGATTTACTTCCAAATAGCTATCTTTCGGATAGCGGGTCACCGTAATATTTTTGGGAAGTGTATTGCTGATGTGACGCAAGCTCACCCTCTGTGGAAACTCTTTCTCTACGAAAAAAGAAAACACTGGAACTCTAGCTGAGGTTCGGCAAACTGTAGAAGTTGCCTGAAGGAATAGTGGAAATCAGAAACTGAGTGTCTTGAACTGGCTAAGGTTTGCGAGGCAGGAACTGAAAATTCTTGTATCGTATGCAAATACCAACACGAATTAGGTAGAATCTTAAGAATTAATAAACATTTGAAATTAAATAAAATACCTCTATGTGTCTTCTCTTTAATTTGCTTATAAGGAAACTTTTTGGATCGGCCATTTAAACGTGATATTACATAATTTGGCACATATGTATATATCTGCCGACGGAATCCTCGGCAACGTTAATCCACGGTTTGCTCCCATCAAATAATCATTCTAATTCAATCCGTATTTGCTTCAACACACACACATACACACACACACACACATTCAGACGCCATCACAAAATCCGATCGCTTCATTCTAAGCAGTCGCCGCAATCAACGCCATCTTTACATCTCCATGCCCGCCATCAGCCACCCCGATAGACGACAAATGCAGCTCATATTGTCTTTTCGTTCTCCATTTTCTTCGTATGTAATTATTCCACTTTATATTGCTATTCCCTTCATTTTTCTTCATTTTCTTCATTTTCTCTGCTCTGCTATCATCAACATTCGGTGCACGGCTGTCGTGCCTTCGTGACTACTTTGAATTACATTTCTAACACGCATCGTCCGCTCGTCGGCGACAGAGGCGGTGGTGACGGCGGCGGAGGCGGAGGCAGTGGCGGCAGCGCATCATTGCATTTCTTGAGGTTTCATGCATTTTTGCAAAATAACAATCGTACAATTCTGTATGAGTAAATAAATTGTCGTTTCTTTCGGTTGCTATCATCATCGACGGCATTGTTGTTGTTGTTGTCGATGTTGTTGCTATTGTTATGTGCATTTGGTATTATTTGCCTTCTCCAATTCTGTTGATCATCTAGGGATCACGTGTTCAACAACAACAAATACCAATGTTTGTAAAATGCATTTACGTACACACACATTTATTCGACAAGTAAGTGCCTTCCATCTCCACTCTCCTTCTCTCTCACTATCTCTCTCTCTCTTTCTGGCCCGCGCCGCTGCTTGAAAATTATTTGCGGATATTTAGCAATATTCTATATTAGTTGAGAATGTGGAAAGAAGAAGCAAAAAACTTAAGAAAACAAAGAAAAAGTCTAACATGCAAAAGCAGCAATATTAATAATAATATTAATAATAATAGCAACAACAACAGCAAGTGTAACTAAAATGCTATTATTTTTTCTTCGGAAGAAACTTTGCCTTTTGCACTTGAAATCATATGGAATTACACCACAATCTTAAGTGGGCTTCTCAATAGTACATAATATATACATATACATATGTACATATAATAGTATTTAGCTATATGCGTTTTGCATTCTAATCTTTTTTCGAGAAGGCTCTTGCTAAAGGTTAAAAAATAAGAAGAAATTAATTACTGTAGTTGTTTTACGTAAATCACAAAGGTTTAACTGAATATACAAAACAATTGGAAATTAAACAAAAAAATTAATAGTGAATAAAATTAAATAAAATGCAAGGAAAATAAAGTAAAATAACAAAAAAAAATTAAAAAAAATAAATTAAATTAAATTACATAAAATCAAATAAAATACAACAAAATAAAATAAAATAAAATAAAATAAAATAAAATAAAATAAAATAAAATAAAATAAAATAAATTAGAGGAAAATAAAATAAAGTAAACTAAATTATATTAAAATAAAGTAAAATCAAATAAACTATTAGAAAAATATAATCCAATGGGGTTGTGCGATCTTATAAAGCAACGAAAATTGGGTGTCGGATTCGTGGTGAGAGAGAGATATGCGTCCAGTATTTTAGATATGCATACATGCCGAGGTCCTAACATCGACTATCTTGTCACAACGATGATACGCACGCGCATCTGTGTATCAAAGAACGGCTGTCGAAAAACACAAGGAAAGTCCGAAAAGCTGTAATCACAACAGACTTCCGAGTGGTTTTCTACTCCACTTGCGCTCTTGCCCTCTGAGAGCACTCATCAGCAACTCGGTATACGGGACCTGTGAGACGTTATTCCAAGCTCTCTACGTACAGCTGCAAACGAAACTATGGGGTTTCGTAAAGATTCCAAAAACAGCTGGTACGATGAGGACTGCCGTATCGCGGTGGAAAGAAAACAGATTTCCTACCTCAAGACCGGAGCAAACTCTTGTAGGACCCAGAGGGGTGAGCTAGTGACGAATGCCAAGAGTATACTGAATTTAAGGAGGGAGCACTTCTCTAGCCTGCTGAATGACACTGAAAATGAAACACACGGAGAAGGTGAGCCTGAAACTCTAATTGATAGCGAAGGAAAAGTTGTTCCGTAACCCAACTATGCAGAAGTCGGAATAGCAATCACTCGCTTAAAAACAACAAAACGACGAAGACCGATACGCTTATGTAAACTGCCTTTGAGCAATACTAAAAGCTCCGTCAGCATCGGGAGCCGTTCGATACCAATCGACCCGTGAGTTATCCAGATTGGATAAGGAAACTGAGTTTGTGGGCCTGATATTGAACGAGGGCGAGACAAAATAACTCCCGTCATCAAACAAACAGTCATCGCATTCGGTACACAGCTCCCTCGTAGATAATTTCATCTATCGAGGATACAGCACTCACACCAATAATATTGTCAGCCTTGGAATACAACGCAGAATCACTCTTGCCAACAGGTGCTACTTCGGACTGAGTAGGCAATTGAAAAGTAAAGTACTCTCCCGACGAACGGAAACCAAACTCTACAAGTCCCTCATCGTTTCCGTCCTGCTATATTGCGGCTACCATGTGGTCCTATCCCATCATGTGTTCCTGATTGATACGAATAAACCATCTTTGAAGGTAGTCGATGCTGTACCCGCTAGAGGAAAAAAAGAAGAAGAAGACCTCCACTCCGATGGAAGCATCAGGCGAAGAGTGACCTGACTACACTTGCTATTTCCAACTTCCTAGTTAGTAGACCAACGTTGGGTACTTCTGGATATTCGCTTCCTTCAAATTGTTCAACTACTAACAGGAGAGTCAGGAGATAGAGCTCATAGTGGACGATTCCTTGCCAATCCCATCAAACACACAACAACCTGGCTAGCACACTTCTTGACGTTGCTATAGGTCATCAACTTTTTTAATAAAAAATGGTCGATTCTTTAACGATTTAGCAGAGATTCGCAGAGATGAAAATTAAATTCATGAGATTTTTCTCTTTAACAAGCGTGGCACCCATTCATAGAGCTTCTTTGTGTATCCAGTTTTTTTGTACAATATTTATCTACTGGGTAATCGAAAAAGTGCTGGTATGATTTTCGATATTTTAAATAAGAATGAAATAAATAAGAAGGAAAGTATATGTATCTCACATACCCTTCCCAGCATTCAAATGCAAATTAATAGGCATTTAAGAATTCCCACAAAGAGTTTATTCACCCTTTAACTCCCATACACTCACCGCCCCTTCTCTATCGTCTAACTCACGAGCAGTTGCGCAAACAGTATAGGAGATCGAACCCGTCCCGGCCAGCCATCAATTCAGCGATTAAGCAAATTAACCAACCAACCAACCAACCAACCAGCTGAGCAGGTAACCGGCAGCTTCACAAAAAAAAAAACAACAAGTATATAAAAAGTACATACTTATATATTTGTGTGCACATTGCATATTTCATACCAAAAATATGTGCAATAAATATTTTTTGTTTGTTTTGTGGATATTTACAAATACGCGATGAAGAAGAAGAACAAGAAGTATAAGTATCTACGTAATTAAATGGAAACAGAAACAACAACAATCCGCTGAAAAACACAAAATTAAATGTGAGAAAAAAAAAACAGCTCGGCAAAGTTACACACGCCAAA